ACGTGTGCTCTTCCAATCTCTGAAAGTTTGTCGGTTGAATTTTCGAACACCCTGTGTAGGATGTTTTATTTTAATTTTTCGTACACAAATATTTCGAAAAATATGAAAGATACAAAAAATGCAAGATACAAGATGCAAAAATTTTGAAAAGGACATAAAAGATGGTGATATTGATATGACTTTGGATAGTTGTTTGAAGATTACACTTTAATTTCTTAAATGAAAATCCCCATTTTTCATTGGATATTCTTGTAGTTTATTTCAAGAGCTTTTCAGAGCACTAAAATAAAATATTTTTTTATTAAGTAATTGTTAAGTTATAAGACCGCACCGGTTTGATAGTTACAGTATCGCTGACATAAGTATATTATTATAGCATAACCAGGCCTGGCGATTTGTCTCTGAGTGTGGAATACTGTGAAAATTTCTGATGAAAAATCTCCCCCCCCCCCCTCTACATTCCACCAGTGGTTGATAAAATTTTCAAGTACACAAATTTTTTCTTCAAATCTCATGATTTTCATTATTTTCTTACATTATTTTCTTTAAAATCGTATAGTTAATATATAAACGTGAATGTGGATTTCTTCGGGTGTGGAAACCCGCACCTCAAAAAACGCCGGGCCTGAGAATAACACAAAAAAGGTATAATAAATAAATCCATGGTACTGAAGAAGTTGCCTGGTCGAATTTATGTATACCTCTTTCATGCTCTGTGTCTCTGTGTGCGTGCGTGTGCGTGTGTGTGTGTGTGTGTGTGCGTGCGTGTGTGCGTGCGTGCGCGTGTGCGTGTGCGTGTGCGTGTGCATGTGTGTGTGTGTGTGTGTGTGTGTGTGAAAGAAAAAATAAATAAAAAAAATATGTATTCAAGATGTTCAAAATAATGACCCTTTAAAATATGCATATTTTAAAATTCTTTTACTAAAACACCCTCGAGTCGCGGGCTAACATTTCTGATGTCACTTCAGTTACTTCAGTGCAGATTCGACGAATACTGTTTTTTTCATGTCCTCAACTGTTGTGGATGCAGTCGATATCGTTCGATCTTTTAGAAAGTTCCAGAGGGTCATCGTTTTGAACATCTTGAATACATATTTATTTTATTTTTTGTTCGCACGGCATGCATGCGTTAACAGGAAAGAGGTATAAATCCAACCTTCGCATCTGATACATCTTAGATAATGCTAATACGCTGCGACATACTGTATAATTTTCGAACTTTAAAACTCAAAAATTATTTAATGAAAAAATATTTTACTATGACGTTTTGAAAAGCTTTTGAGGTGAGTTTATGCAATAAAAAATGAGATTTTTATTTAAGAAATTCAAATTCATCTTTATCTTCAAACGACTTTCCAAGGTCAAAAAACTGTGACACTATTTTATATTCCTCTCGAAGTCACAAAATTTTGTACGAAATCTCTTTTAGTATTTTTCAAATTTTTTCTAATGTCTGCCTAGAAAAATTAAAATAAAACACCCTATGTATTTCTACTAGAATTTTCAAATAGTCATTCATGTTTTTGCATAATCATCATCATACGACCGCTTTATTTATCAAATCATTATCACATGGTGACCTGTAACATGTGTCGAATGGAGGATTTTATTGCTGCAATTTATGCTGATTCATTTGGCATTATAATTTTTGGACTGCCGTGTGAAAATCGTGTCTTGTGTTTTGAAAGAATTATATATACATATTTCTTATATTGTTTTTCGGCGGCCTTCAAAACGGTATCTAATAGCTGATAAGATGGTGTCTATCGGTTAATATGTCGATAAACGACTTGCGTAAATTTCCATGCAATAGGAAGGACAACGGGTTATCGGTGAAATTATCGTATTACATGTCGTATTTTTGGAATGAAAATGAATTCTAAAAAGTTGCGCGCGCGTATTATATGTATGTATGTACAGTCGTGGACATATCGATTGTGATACTTTTTTTTAAATAGATTTCGAAACGCACTAATATTTTGCCTTTAGATTAAAGATAGTACACCATCGTGATTCGTATTTGCAAAATATTAGTTACCTATAAAATATACACTGCACTCAACAAAAAAATAGAGAACACTTTCAAAACGCTCAAAATTGGACAGTGTTTAAATCGTTGTAATTTGGTGAAAAATTATCGTAGACAAAAAATTAATAAAAGCATTTTAAAGCTTTAAGCTTATACTTTAACATGCTTTTTGTCGTTTTTTTAAATCTTTTAGCTTCACAGTTCTATATTTAAAAGAAATTCGGGTTATTTTATTCCTTAAAAATTTGCGAATTCCACATTCTGTAGTTTGATAAGAAATTTTTTTTCAAAATATTGAAGATTTTCACAAAAAAAAAATACGTACGTTTACCTACAAAATGCTTTTTTGAAAATTTTTTTACGATTTTTTTAGACCAAACGCAATTTTGAAGCTAAACTTGCATTTCTTATAACCGACTTTGAAACTTGGTAAAAAATCAAAATATTAAAAATTAAAAATTAACAAGGCTAGAGAATGTCATTCACATATCTATTAAATATTATCTAATAGTCATCATTATTGCCTCAAGTTTTATCTCTGAAACGTCAATTATGCCAGAACTTTATGTTTATGCACATCTCCATATGATGAACATGATGTCACAGTTCTTTTAGTGACATGACATCGCATTGTTGAATCGTCCTCCGAATAGCCCTGATTTGAATTTGATCGGGCACATTTGGAACAAAGTGGAACGAACATTAAGATGTCGCGAGGAATAGTCACAAAATTTAAACAATTTAGGAGAAGCTCTTACAAGGGAATCTCGCGAAGTGAGAAATTTTGATTTTAATAAAACTTGGTACACTTTGAGGTCGCATAAATAGATAAATTTAGAAATTATCAGTTGGTGCTAAAAAAAACGGTTTAAAAGGATGAAACCACTCCTTAAATTAATTTATTTATAATACGTACATTAATTTTTTTGTCGTTATATATATATCTCAAAAACTATTCAAGCTATCAAAAAGTGTTTTATACAAAAGTTTTACAGTAAAATTATCTCTATTTATTTACGTTAATAGAATTTTTTAAAAATAATTATTTTCAAAAATTTTTTAAATATAATTATTTTAAAAAAATATTAATGTAAATGAATAAAGGTAATTTTATTGTAAAACTTTTGTATAAAACATTTTTTGATATCTTGAATAGTTTTCGAGATATAACGAAAAAAAGAAAAAACTAATTTACATATAAGGGATGGTTTCATCCCTTTAAACCGTTTTCTAGCATCAACTAATAATTTCTAAATTCATCTATTTATGTGACCTTAAAGTGTACCAAGTTTCGCTAAAATCAAAATTTGTCGCTTTGTGAAGTTTTCTTGTTAGACAAATTTAGTTGACATGAAATACCACACACAACACACACACACGCGCGCGCGCGCGCGCGCACGCACGCACGCACACAATGAATTTAATTCAAAGATACATAAACATGCGAGAGTGTTTACAAATGATAATTAATCAGAAAGGAAGGAATACATAATACTAAACACACACAATGTGCAAGCCGGCAACCTCTATGTGATGCACATTAGATAACACTAATGCCGGTCATTTTTCAAAAAATTTAGAATTGGTTTCAAAGTCACGTTATTCCAAAAACATCGCATAAAGATGAAATTAGTATTTTATAGAAAAATTGTTTTAATTTTTGTCTTAAATTTCTCGAAAAAATTTTTCAAGAATTTTAAAAGCACGTAATTTTACAGAGTAAAATAATGTTCTTTTTTTTTCAGGGCACAGAATTGTAAAGAATTAATAATTTTCAAAAATGATTGAAAGCAAATTAAACTACAAATTTCGAACTTTAGAAAGTTTATTTCTTTTTTGTTTTTTAATTTTTAATTTTTAAGATTTTGATTTTTCACCGAGTTAATTTCAATGTCGGTTGTAAAAAGTGCAAGTTTAGCTTCAAAATTGTGTAGTCTGATTAAAAAAAAAATCGTAAGAAAATTTTTAAAAAACCATTTTGTAGGTAAAAATACTTTTTTTTTTTGTGAAAATCTTAAATTTTTTTAGAAAAAATATTTGATCAAACAGAGTGTGAAATGCGTGAATTTTTAAGGAACAAAATAACCTGATTTTCTTTTAAATATAGAACTAAAGGTAAAAGATTTTTAAAAACGACAAAGAGCATGTTAAAGTATAAGTTTCAAGCTTTAAAATGCTTTTGTAATCTTTTGTCTACGATAATTTTTTAACAAGTTACAGCGATTCGAATACTGTCCAAGAGCGTTGTGAATTAAAGTGTTCCCTATTTTTTGTTGAGTAGTGTATATTATATATATTAAATGTATATAATATATACTGAAAACCCATGAAAGAAAGTAACCGATATGTCCACGACTATACATAGTACATACATGCATCGCACGCACATTTGCCCGCGCCGCGCACAAATTAAGCAGATCATCGTGGAAATGAGAAATCCACTCGAACAAATTACATAATTTATTTAGACAACGAAAATTAAATATATAAACAACAACAATAAATTTATGAGCGTAGAATGCGTAGAATGCGTGTTCCACGTAGAATCGAGGGTGTTCGCCGGTATAAGATTTAATAAAAACGGCACCCTCGACGTTCTTCTTATTCTGAAATCAGTTAAAAATACAATATTTTTATCATGCGTCAACAATCACGTTCGGCAAATGCAAAAGCTAGGTGAGATCGGCTTTTGGAAAATGGATTTAACTAATTTAATCGATTTGGAAAATAAAACAACGTTTACTCAATCCCTTTATTAAGCTAGCACATACTATCTCACAATTCATCGTTTGTCTTACGATATGCTTGCACCGGCACGAAGGCAACTTCGTCCCCGTAGCTTTCCACGTATGCCGACCTCTTTTTTCTGTCACTTCCCGGATCGGCGTCGATGAGAGCTATACTCGATTTAGTCGGCCTAATAAATGGAAGTGCATCATTATTGCGTGAAATAAGGTAAGGGGGGGGGGGGCAAATAGTGTAACTTTAAATTTCTCCTCTTTCCCGAGTCTATTTTACTACTACTCGTTAGAGAATCGTTCTCTAACGACTTAGAGAACTCTTTAGAAATTAAGACAGTTCTTAAGCATCTAATCATCTTCTGAAAAAGCCGTAAAAATCAAAAGCCAAAAGTCAAATATAGCTAACGGAGAAGTTTAAAAATTTTGCATTCGTGCAATAAGATAAAACCTGGATTTTTTTTTTAATATTTGAAGTTATATTTTCTTAATGGCTAAATCATTGAATGATATCTAATCTATTCTATGTCACACGGTACCTTTTTCTTCTATTTGGATATAATTCCTATGCTTGTATATTAATTTTATTTCTATCAGTAAAATTTTAAAGGAAAAAGCAGCTCCTGAGGCAAATAATGACAACTTTTAGTTGGGCAAATAATGACAAGTCAAAAAGCTTTTTTAATATTTAAATATGATTTTTCTAATTCATTTGGAATAATATGAAATTATTTATAAAATAAGTATTTTTACCTACAATATAATATGAGATTATTTTTAAAATAAGTACTTTTACCTACAAAATGATTTTTTAAAAATTTTCTTACGATTTTTTTTAAACCAGACTACGCAATTTTGAAGCTAAACCTGCACTTTTTACAACCGACGTTGTAAAAATTAACAAAAAAACAAAAAAAAACTTTCTAAAGTTCGAAATTTGTACTTTAATTTGCTTTCAATCATTTTTGAAAATTATTAATTTTTTACAGTTCTGTGCCCTGAAAAAAAGAACATTATTTTACTCTGTAAAATTACGTGCTTTTAAAATTCTAGAAAAATTTTTTTCGAGGAATTTAAAATAGAAATTAAAACAATTTTTCTATAAAATACTAATTTCATCTTCATGCGATGTTTTTGGAATAATATGACTTTGAAATCAATCCTAAATTTTTTGAAATTACAAGACAAGATCCAGAATATATGATGATTTTCAATAAGAAATACTAGCAAATAATGTTACTACTATTATTTATCAATAAATAAAAATTTACATATGGGAGAGTATAGAAATTAATATAAATTACCTTATCTAATCAAAATGTCAAAAGAAAGATCGATTAAGAGTTAAGAATTATGTATTTCGTAATTGTCCCATAGGGTATCACTATTTACCCACAGGGTGGGACAAATGTAGATTTCAGTTTTTATGAAAATCTAGCCGGTATACATGACTTATGAAAACTCTAATTAAGTTTTTTGCATATTTGAAAGTAGAAAGTACTCTTTTAATGAAAAAATCATATCTTGTAAATTTGAAATTAGCTTGGGAGAGAGGAAAAAATCCGTCACTATTTGCCCTCCCCCCTTCCCTTATTAAATTAAAGTATAAAACTTTCATTGTATTTCGCGGAGAGATATTAATTCCTTAAGCTGTAAAAATTCTAAATATTTTATATATTTTCTATATATCATATGCCGGTATTGTAAGAATTGATCAATCACAGCTGTCAAATGCAAAGAGAATATTCGACTTGAAGAGAACAGCAGACTTTACTGTGAAAAGTGTTGAAAACGAAATTTTGCGACCAAGTGTTGCGCGTGCCATTTCATTATTATGTGCTTAATTGATATGAAAATGTGACTTGTCACATACTTATCAAATTCGTAAAAATGGATGGAAACTAAAGTTATTTTTGAATTTTATATATAAAAGCATATTTTTCATTCTTTTCAACAGCTGTCAAATCGTGAGTTTTCTTGCCTGAATAGGCTTCACTTTACCTGCCATCTTTATTTGCCTTCTATGAATATTTACTGATTATCATGGGGGGGGGGGAGGAGAAGGATAATTTTTATCCATTTTTACAATTTTTTAAAGTGATCCTATTTTTTTTATTTTATCCAAATTTTCTTTATTTAAAAGTGGTACGCAACAAATTTTTACGTGTCATTTCTCGCTTTTGATTGACGTCACGATTCCAGTAGTAATTATTAATACATTGTCAGGAGCCCTAACAAAGCTTGACATTAATTTTTCTTTATGAAAACTTTAATTTTACTGAATCTAAATATATTTGACTTTGAAAGAACATAAATTTACGAAATGAAAACAGAGAGTGACATTTTATTTTTTAACTAATTATCTATTATACTAATTATTTATAATGTATAATATTATAAAATAGAAACAATAATATGCCCTAGAGAATCATCATAATAAAGCGTTTTAATTGAAGATATTTTATACCGGTATTTTTCGCAAATTATCATTTTAAAGGATAATTACCGTTGTTTTAATTTACGTTACTCAATTTCATTTCATGCATCGTAGAAAAAATTTGATTATATCTTCATTAAGTTTATGAATAATTGATAGCACGCGGTGTGATCAACACTCATATCGAAAGTAAGTGGAATTAGCAACAAAACAGTAATTACCTCTTCTTACTCCCATTAAGATCCGCTGTTACTGTAAGATCACGTGGCCTCGAGAAGTCGCATTCTAACGTAAAAGCGGCGTCGCCTGGTGTTAACAACTCATCGTCGTGCTGAATCACCACGACGTTGCTGAATTTGTCACCGTCCTTTTCACCGAAGCCAAAAGAAAAAGAAAAAATGCATAGAAAAATATTAAATGATATAAATAATCAGTAAACATTTTATTGGCCTTAAAACACTATAAATTGTCCTAAAGTATATACAAACATACATATATCCAATAAATGAATAAAGTTTATAAGTTAATTCTTAATCTTGCGAGTAATTTCTTTTGTAGAGTTATTAAACGTTTAAAAAACAATTCAAAATCCTGTATAAAAGAAAATAATTTATATAATTCACGTGCCGACTTTTTCGTTTCATTATTTTATTTTTTTATTTAAACTAATGAATAAGAATGTGAGAGAGAAATTTTAGAAATTAATCACATGATAATATACATTCGAAAATATGTACAAGCTTTCTTTCACCAGCTACGGATAAATTCGTCGTTATATTGTTTATGCAGTGCTTCATGATCAAGAGAAAATTTAGAAAATACTATAAAAAATTGTACGCGGTAGCTTATTACTTTAGAAAGACATGATTTAAAAGAAAAAGAAAGTTTTTCAAGAGAGAGAGAGAGAGAGAAAGAGAGAGAATAACACAGTAAACGAAAATTAATTCACATAAATTGAAAATTCAATTTATTTCAGTTTATTTTAATTTATCTGAATTGACGCTTTTAGGGTCCGGAAGTGCATTTATGTCCCTATTAGGGTAAACTCGGTATATACGCCGCACATATTAAAAACTTAATTTATCACATATTATCTATTAAGTTTAAATTAAATGAACTATGCCAGTAAAAATTTTATACTGTTTACTATTATAAAAAAAGTATTAGAAATCCAAATTATCTATTTTTTATATTAAAAAAGAAATTTCTTTAAACTCTTGCATTTTTGCCTTATAAAAATAGGGTTGGGTTATACGGCTACTCATGAGTGGGATAAATGACTCGAAAAATATACAAATCATCTAATAGTGAATAACACGTGAATTGACAACGTAATTTGCATTTACTCATTAATAAATAAATAAAAAACGTATTATTACAGATTATGAATAAGTACATACATAAGTATATACATACTTGAACGTTATGATTATAATGTATTGTAAAAGACGTATTATCACGTATCATATTATTTACTTTTATATTTATAAATAAATAATAGATCGTCTGTGCTGTGGCATAAATTCCACGCGCTAAAAATGCCGTATATCCCAAACAAATGGGATATACGAGACAATAAACTAAACAAAGAATACAAGAGCTAAGCACTTGTATTTTGCTATACTCTATCCTTTACTAATCCTCTACACTTATATACCACGAAATAACCACGAAGCCTTTTACATTTTCTACAATAATCATTTTATGTAGATTTTAACTTATGATTGCACTACTTGTTACAGTGATAAATCGATTTAACTTACAATAATTTTATAAATATTAACAGTAAAAAACTGAAATCACAATACTAATATAACATAAAGGCATGTAACAAAGTGATTGCGAGAAAATTAGTTTAACTTCTTCTATTTTTTCTGATTTCTGCGGCGTAAATCCTCGCACTGCGTTTATACCGGGTTTACCCTATGTTATTTTTTAATACAAATAAATTGAAATACGAAATAAGCTATTTATCATGTTGAATTCGCGATGTATTCATGTCCGCATTATATTATTTTTGGATTCAGATAGATTCGAAAAATCAGAAGCGCCAATTCGGAAATGTCAAAATGAATTCATTTCTATCCATTTTAAATCATTTCCGTTTGCTGGGAACGTTTTTTCTAATTAAATGACTCATTTTGCTGATTTAAGGCTAATAATTAAAATAGTTTTTCAAAAATAATTATAGTTAAATAATATAATAAAAATAATTAATATAATGGTTAAATAATAGCTTTTAAGAAAATAATTGATAGTATATAAATTACTCTTTCAGTGTCGCATTTGTTCAAAGGAATGCTCATGGTGAAACTTCTACCGCGAACCGGATCGAGGAAGCAGGACGGTTCTCGGGAATAAAAGCTACCCTGCGTGTAGATCACTCCTGAAAAATCCTCTGTAGTTTTGAGCTCGACGGTCATTCTTTCGGCGCCGCATCGCAGCCCCACGCGATCGTAGCCCTCGGCGGACGCGCCTATCCGCATGTCCTTAGACAGATCCTGCTGCCAAATCTCTTCTGCGTAATCAGATTGATAATTAATTTTAGATTTTTTTAAATAGCGATTATTCATTATGATTTACATCGTAAAGTAATTTGAAAATGAAATGAAATAAACTTTAATAAAAATTGGAAACGAAAGTGCAACAGCGATTTATTCCGTTTCGGTAAAAACTTGGGAAGAGAATAATTTTAAATGAAAAGAAGAACACTTTCTTCAAACTTGATTTTTTGTAAAAGAAACAATGTAAAAATTATTCTTTTAATTATTTTTTATGTTTCCTTTTTATTATTATTATTTTTTTGTATTAAAGAATAATTTTACAAAAGAAAGAAACATAGGTATATGGATATATATATGGACATATTTTTGCATATAATTATATATTTTTATAAATGTTTATATATATTTATATATGTTTTTATATGAAAAATTTTTAAATTTTTAAATTAATTCCGCTTTTTAAAAAATATAAATCTTTTTAAATACGTACTTAAAAAATAAAAATTCTTTTAAATACATATTTGAAGTAAATGATTCGTGATTGCGTATTTTTTAACTTGAAAGAAAATGTCATCAGTTTACGAAAGTTCCAATAATATTTTTAATGAACCATATATTATAATCAAAATTTTTTTAAGAACGTAGAATTTTATATTTTATGACTTTTACGGTGTCCAATAAAAATTTCCTCCCAAACTAATGGATCGAGCAAAAATTAAAACTATTTATAAATAAGTATCAGGAAAGACCGTGTAATGTTAACTAACAATTGAAATCGTAAAACGCCAACAATGGTACAAAGCGGATCTTGGTGCTTTTATATAATATTAGTGTAAATCTTACTAAAACTATTTATTTTGGTTCTCTCTCACCTGCATTGCCTATCAACTTGACGCTCGCCGTCAAGACAAGTGCGGGAAGTAGGATCAAACGCATGGTGCCGGTGGAAACGGTAACGGCGAACGAACGACCGTGAACTGGCGATAAACTTGAGACTCGCTCAATGCCAACGTGCCCGTCTGCCACCGTTATTACCTGCCGGGGTGACTTTCTTCCCTCTCCACCCTGCCCTCTCCACTTCAATTCCCATCCGAATCGAATACTTTCACCGCATGACAAGCTAGACGAACGTCTTCTTCGCTTTTTCCCTCTTTTTCTCTCTACGCGTGTAGTAGTCATTGCGCTGCATGGATCATCGATCATTTTCGCGGCTCATTGATTCGAAAACCGCAGGCTCTGGCGACCGTTTCTTTTTGTAACCTTACGCAAATTACTTACGTATTAATTTATCTATCGACGAGAAAGTAAGATTGTAATTTTTTCTGCAGAGTTATATAAAAAAAATCTCGAAATAACGCGAAATTATTCCCAAGTTACATGTAACGTGCATATTAGTTGTAATTTAACCCACTTAGCAATATAACTATAATACAACACATGGTGTTACATTATAGTTATATTGTCGAGTGGGAAATTACAACTAAAATGTATTTTACATGTAACTTGGTGCTTGCTGGGATTAATTCCGTGTTATTTCGAAATTTTTTAACCCACTCAACAATATAACTATAATGTAACATGTGTTATATTATAGTAACATTGTTAAGTGAGAAATTACAACTAACATTACAACGTTACATGTAATCTATTGGTGTTTGCTGGGAATAATTCCGCGTTATTTTGAGATTTTTTAATCCACTCAACAATATAACTATAATGTAACATGTATTACATTATAGTAATATTGTGGAGTGGAAAATTATAACTAACATTAGAACGTTACATGTAATTTGGTGTTTGCTAAGTTTTTTATCAAGTTTAGCTGTTTTCAAAAATATAGTCGCAATAATTAATAAGGTATATAAATTTTTATTTTTTAAATACATTTAAAGGCATATTAGAGCTTGTCAAGAATAAATCTACAATAGTGAATTTAAATAACGTCTATGCTACACGGATGTTGGTATGTAATAATTTTTACAATTTACGTTTTTATCTTATAAAAATTTTATTTTATCATAAACATATATGTTTATTCAATATATACTCTATATTTTATATTATAGGTGTTCAAACACTAGCTAAAGATGGCCAAGGTCGTTGGCCTTTATCAATGTCATGATCCTGAACAACATTCAAAAGGTTTTAGCTAGTGTTTGGACACCTTGAATGATGCTAATGCCGACAGTACTCCAACTTTCAAGCTAACTCAAGATTTATTTCATAAAAAAATATTTTATTTATGTGTTTTGGAAAGTTCTCGAGGCGTGCTATAAGAACATGTAATGAAAAATTGGGGGTTAAAAAAATTCAAAGTGACCTTGTCCTGACCTTGACGACGCCACTCAGGGTCAAACCAATATTATCATCTTACGTCCCCCTCGAAACCCTACAACTTTTGTCTAAAACATTTTTTCCTAGTGTGCTTATTTTTCCAGATATTCGACTGGATAGATTAAAATGGTCCACCCTGTTTATGAATAATTTTTTCTCATTTCTTAAAACTTGATTTTTTATGAAAAAAAACAATGCAAAAATTATTCTTCTAATTATTTTTTATGTTTTCTTTTTATTATATTATCATTTTTCTTGTATCAAACAATAATTTTACAAAGAAAAGAAACATATATGGATATATGTATGGACATATTTCGCATATAATTATGTATAATTAATTATATATATTTTTATATATATTTATATGTGTTCTTATATGAAAAATTTTTTCACGAGTATTCCTCGAGATATAACAAATTCTTGGAAACGGATCAGATAATTCTGGAAAATTGAAAAACTTCTTGGAACGCGAGAAAATTTTTGCCATTAATTTATTCATTCAATTTCTCGAGATTCGGATAAGAACTCGCATGAATTAGCGAATTCAATTTCTCCTTCTTCTTCTAATATGGGCTTCCGTTTCCACCAGAAACGATACAGCCTGTGCTTAAGATTGAGTATCAAAAAACTTGTGCGACAATAGATGATGCAATAAATGATGATGCAACACTAACAGAGTACTGAGCCACAGACGTCCACCTCAGTCCGTGGCTCCCAACGGAATCCGCAAATTCAACTGCGTTGAATAGATACTATATTACACTAGTGCAGCCAAAGGAAAACGCTATAAATCTAGGCGCGAACGTGTTACATTATTTCTAGCCTTAGTTCCGAAACACAATAGATGTAGTAAGCCTTAAGCCGTAAGAAATTGATCAATCATAATCTATTATTCTCTTCAAATTTAATTGCAATTGGTCCATTTATTACGGCTTAAGGCTTACAACACCTATTGTATTTCGGGAATTAAGCCCATGGCACGTAGAAAAACGTAAAGGGCTGTCTACAATACGTCGTATATCAGATCGTAAGCCGTAAATCGTAAGAATTGACCAATCACAATTGAACGTAAGAAAAATATTCGACTACGATTGGTCAATTCTTAGTTAGTATAAATATGAGTAGTGACTAACGGCTTATTGTAGAAAGCCCCTAAAACAATAAGACGTAAGCAGTAATCAAATCGGCCAATCACAATAGAAACGTAAGGCAATAATCTTATTTTCTCTACTGTGATTGGTGAATTCACTTATTGCTTACGCCTTACTGCTTTACGTTTTTTTATGTGCCATGGGCTTTAAGGTGCTGTCTACAATACGTCGTATGTCAGATCGTAAGCCGTAAATCGTAAGAATTGACCAATCACAGTTAAATGTAAGAAAAATATTCGACTATGATTGGTCAATTCTTAGTTAATATGATATGAGTAGTGACTAACGGCTTATTATAGAAAGCCCCTAAAGGTCCATCCACAATGAGAGTAGTATGTCGCAATCCGTAAAAAATTGACCAATCACAGTCGAATATGAAAAGAATGATCGACTATGATTAGTCAATTTCTTGCGGCTTACAACTTACTACTCTCATTGTAGATAGACCTTAAGGTCCATCTACAATGAGAGTAGTAAGTCGTAAGCCGTAAAAAATTAACCAATCACAGTCAATTATTCTTCTCATATTCGACTGTAATTGGTCAATTTCATAGGGCTTACGACTTACTACTCTCACTGTAGATGGATCTTTAGTTGGAAGGAAGAATGCAGTAATATTTCTGCGATGATAGTTGGCAGGATTGACGTGATATTATCAGAGCAGTCACGAGCCCACGAGACGAGCTTGGTTAGCTTGGATGTCGTAATTGTCATTTTTTCACGGGCGCCTGAACGATCAACATGTCCGTCAGCCGTGTGTCGCAGATTTTATTCTCGCGCGTGTCGCACGTGGCCCGAAAACCGCAGCAGTACGTCGCGCCCGCCTTCAGGTATTATTCTTGTAAGTATCCGAATATACGCATCTACGAACGAAGATCCCTTCTCCTGCCTCTCCGCTTGTCGCCGGCCGGTCAGCTGTTCTCGTAACGTCATTTTCGTAGGGAACACCCAGTATAATCGTTGACTGTGCTACCAGAAAACTCGTTTCCGAGCCCAACACGAGAATGAAACAATTCGTTTATGTGCAGCATATTAATCTCAATTACATACCGAGATGGATTCTTCACAATTATTTTTCGATAATATCACGCATATTTATGTATTATGCGTGCGTATGACTTTAAGACCCGCGATTTGAAAAAAAAAAAACTTAATTTACCATATGTACGATAATGCTCCACGTCACAAGATGCTTTTAAAAAAAACCACAAGTCATACCGATATATTTATATATAGTATATCTAAAAAAAAAGAATTTAAATTATATAATACATGTGATTTTGTATCGATTTTGAAATTAGAATGCGATATCTCGTGTGATAAGGCGATTCTTAATCTACGAGAACATTCTAACGCCTGTAATAACAACGTTCAGAAGGTTAATCGAGATTAAATACGCCAAGCGGTAAACATGCCGTTTCATTGTTTCTCTTCGAACGTACAAATTCAAGCGTGCAAAGCTAATTTTTGACATTTTTCAATTCGAATTTCTAATTTACTGCATCATTTAATTTAATTGCATCAAATATTCGATTATCTTGAAAAGAAATGAAAGACTTGAATTTAATTGATGTGTATTTGATTGTTCAAAATGATGTGTAGCTACCAATAAAAAGATTTCTCTCGTAAAAACGTTTATTCACAATTTTGATTTACTAAGAGTAAATTCATCTTTAAATTAGCCAGGAAATTAAAAAAACATCCGTTGTTTTTTTTTTGGACACCTCGTATACAGTACGGACTTTGTTATTCATTGCTTAATGTATTCTTGCGGTTATTATGCGGTAAATCTTCATGAATGATAATCATTCTCGATTGCATAATACACAGATAGAAAGAAGATATTCATGATAAAACTACAATTTGGAAATATCTAATAAATACTTATTTTCTAAAATATCGAACACATTTACATCGTGCATCAATATTAATCTTATTATCATTATACATATACATAGTGCGCTGCAAATAATATATACATACCAGAAAAACAACCGTTTTTCTAGTTTTTTGTTCGTTTCGGAATTAATGTATTATTTGAATGTAATTATCTTTTTTAATTGCATATTAATTATGCATAAAAAGTATGCGAATCATGAAAAGCGATCGAGCCTATTATTATTATTATTATTATTATTACACCAATAACAATCTCACATTTTAATTGATGTTTTACAGTAACGCTAATAATCAGATTTTTTAATCATAGCAAACCCATACAGAACATAATATCTGTTAGATATCTATTCGATATCTCATATCCATGATAGGATATCCATAAATCTCTAACAAATAGCTAGTAGACATCCTCTATACATCCAAATGTCCGCAATATGAGATCTCAGAAATATCCATAAGATATCTAAGCCAATCGATTACATATTTATATACTTAAATAGCACAAAAATGATTAACAATAATGATTAAATAAATGTTTATGAAATCAAAATAAAAACCATTATAAAACATTTAAAAAAAACAATTTACGGTGTTTCCAAGGGAATCATTCCTTTCAAATTAATATCCAGATCTAATGGTCACCCATCCAAGCCATGACCGCCATCAATGCTGTTTAACATCTGTGATCGGGAACTGCTGACACTTCGTGATGATCCATGAGTACTTGATGTTAATGGATACAGATTCGTAATAGATTATACGAATACAATACAATGTAAATTACTGGATTAAGAAAAGTGAAAGCGCTTCGAATCAAATGTATGCAAAAATTTTTTTGCGTACATTTTTTACATTATTTTTATAGGAAAATTATCCAAACAACAATTACTTTATAATTCTTAGTTATGGGAGTAAAATTTAATAAAATTTCGTCATAAAGTTAACATTATTTACGTGTTAATATTATTTAAATAATTATTCAGTGTGTAAATTTTTGATTAACACATACGTATATGTTTATTCCGGTATCTCTGGTAATAATTTGTTAACATAGGTACGTAGATAACAAATAAATATCTAATAGATATCTTTGGTAGCTGTTTAATGAACATAGATGTGTAAGATTATTATTAGATATCTACTAGTTATCCATAATGGATATGAATAGTGCATAGATATGTGGATATTCAGTAGATATCTATTATATATTTTGTTCTGTATGGGCGCTTTAGGAATATCGTAAATAAGTTTCTAAATATATATTTTTTAATCACAATTTTGTTATGTGTATTCTTTTTCATTCTTTAGTATATGATGCTAATTAAAAAAATTTTTTGTATTTAAAACAAATTTATTTTAGCAATTAAATTGGAATGGTCAAGAATACATCACAAATTTATACAATTTGACATCATTTTGACAAACTAAAATTTGATCTTATTTTGATATCATTTTGATCT